GGGGCTGGTTGAAGAGTGTAAAACCAGAGGGTGCAAAAAGTGGGAGTGTTTAATGAGTACTTTACTAGCAAAATAATACAGGACAATTAATACAGTGGGTGTTAAACCTGGTCACTGAATAATCACTTAAGCATCTGATTGTCACTGCCATTCTCAAGAACAAAGAAAAAAAAGGCTACTGATCTATTCCACTAGCACAAGAAAAAAGCCAAAACCCACAACAGAAAATTCAGAGTCTCCTTCCAGCCACATTTCTGGATTTCAGAGACACCTTATTACAGTAATTCTCCCTTGATACATCAACTGTTATAGCATGGACTTTGAAGCTCATGTGGTAGCTTTCCTTGCCTTACTAGCAGAGTTGTGAGTTTGATAACTAATCGCTCCTTAATAACTCATGTTTCCTCCCCAAAAGTCCCTGAAACGAAATTATTTGGGGGAAATATATGAGCAGGGATTTTGTGAAGTAGAAAAATCGCTTTGGGCTTCTTTCCCAGTAACCCACACGATTTTTTGAATGGGGGTGGGGTGACGCTGAATTCAGTTCTGTTCCACACATGCCCAGACCTTGCAATTAGGAAGTGATCCCTGATAGTATGTCTCAAACTTATCACCAAATAACAAAAAAACCCCACAGATTTGTTGAAGGCCTCTCTGGCTTGGCTCCTGCTTGAATTTGTTCTTTAGGAACTTGCAAAACTTTCATCCTGGGTTAGTCAGGGAAAACAGCATAAGCCAACAGATACAAATATATGTTTGCTCACAACTTTCCCAACTGTGACAATAAAATGACTGGAGTTGGTGAGATCTTAATTTCTGTGATGGGACAGGCTCTTTGCCATACCTACTTACTAAAGCCCCTTTACTGGTCACCCTTTTGCCCAAATGCAAGCATCTGAGCTACTGCAGGACAGAAAGATGACGACAGCCCTGTGCCTCATGTATCTGATTGCATAAGCAAGTGATTTGCATACCTGGCACGTTTACTGGGGGAAGCCTGTGGGGTCTTTAGGATCTTCCCTGTTGCTGAAACACCAGCAGAACCCACACAAACTTCCATGTCCCACATCACATGTGCAGCTGCACGGCCTGTCCAGACACATGAGAATGGCATTGGCCTATAGCTGGGCAAACCATAGTAGTCAGCCTGGCACACACACAGCAAAAAGGCAAGTTGGTTAGCTCATGCTGCAGCTGGACGTTGTCTCCTTTTTGGCCAAAATATAAAGGCTCTTAAGCAGATGTATTTTGAACATTCATAGTCAACTGAGTTATGGGGTGGAAAAGCATCACCCATGCAGTGTTATCCAGTATATGCCCTATTTTTCTGGTTCATGCATTTTCACTCCTCTTTAGCTTTCTGGGCACATACTGTACCTTGTAATAACATGGAAGAACAAGGGCCTCGAGTCTTTATTAATTGCTACTACTGTAATTTTACAAGGAGCTATTTAGGAAATTCTAATTTTTGTTACCATAGGAATGAAGCTGTAGGATCCAGCAGAAGAACAATTTAAACAGCAGTGTTTAAGTAATTAACTTCAACTTTAATTCTCCGCTCCATCCAAGCTCCTCTTGGGCATAAAGAAAAAGACTTTAAAAAAACTCTCTTCTCCTCAGTGCCACTTGAGTCTAGTCCAAATTAGGAGGTACAGCCCTGTTATCTATAGCAGGGCTTAGCAATCTACCTTCCCACCCACAGAGCACTGCCTCCTCTTCCCAAGTGAAGCAGCTGCAAAATCCTCCTTGGCTCAGGCAGAGCTCCTCATCTGCTTTTTCTCAGCTAGTTTAAAGCAATGTTTATGCAACTTTAATACATTAAGAATTGGATAAACAGAAGAGCATCTAGTCCATAGGTTGGGATGCTCATACCTGATGAGTTTGCCCATTACTCAGTGTAACTAGATAGGGCCACTTTTGTGTACCCCTTTCTGAGCTGGTTTGCTCCTCTTTTTCTATTTGAAAGGTTTAGGTCTACATTAAGTAAAAACCAAAACAGGACAGGTAATTGTTTAGTCATTCTGCTGGCCTTCCCCAGCAGGCAGGAGGAGACAAGGCAAGGAAGGAGAACAGTGAAAAGCTGACACTCACACTTGCCATTGCCTCCTGTTTGTTTTTTAAACCTTTGAACCATGGAAACTTATAAGCAGCAAGAAAGTGGAGAAAAGTTTTATCTTCCCTGGCTTTAACTCTTTTGAGATCCTACTGTTACTGCTCAGATTTGTGAACAGTGTTCATCTCGTGTTTGAAAGAGTCTTGGAAGGGACTACTTTGCAGAACAAGGAATCTTGCACCCCTTTAAACAGATGTCTAGCATTGATGAGATTAGGATGTTCCCCAGCTCTCAGTAATGGCAACAGGTCTAATGGCTTTCATAGCATATGAGGGACAGCTTTAATTGTCCACATGTCCTGAAGCACAACACTTCTTTCTTCATAGATGCTTTGACTCACTCATCCAAAGTCTCAGTCAGGAAGTGGAAGAAGAGCTGTGTCTGTAACTCCACAGATGCTGTCAGGTGGTGAAGCCACTTAGAGATTAAGAACCTAATTCCTGTCTCTTCCTCAGCAAATGAAGATAAGCCAAGAAAGCAAGCCAGTGACCATATTTTGGCATGATTTTCTGGCAATTATAGTGGCCTTATTTATCACCCAACATCTCCTTTTCATTGCACATTTCTGGTGTGCTCCAGCATTCTGCCTCACGTTCTTGCTTCTACAGTCTGGCTTATCTTTCAGCTGTCTGGCCAAGTCTATTCCAGTAAGCTATGGTCACAGGATCCTGCCTCAACAATGCATTACAAACTGGTCACAGGGATAGGGAACTACACAGTTACACCAAAAAAAAAAAAAAAAAAAAGACAGTATCAACACTAATCTAGCAGGGTATTATCAATCAGACCCAGCTATCTGGAGATTACTTTGTGTCCAGTTCTGTTTTTAGCACTTTCATAGCTCCCACTATTGTTACTGTTGGCTACAGGCAAATAGGTATTTTCAGACACCACCCCCCTCACACACACACACACACACAGATACACAGACACACTTATTTCTCTGGAGTTGCCTGAGCTGTTGAAACTGGATCCTTTTATGGGAATGTACAAGAGGGGTTTTCATAAGCAAGCTGGAGAATCTGGGAGGCACAGCTGGCGCTCTGTCGAGGTAGCTGAGAGTGCTCCACCCCCTTAAATTCACCTTCTTGTTCTTGCCCACTTATTTGCGCCTTCGTTTCCACACAGATTCACATACGTGGTCACAGTCAAAAGAGGGGACCTTAGTCATATTTTATGTAATATTTCCTTGCACGTCAAGTGGAAAGAAAAGGAAAGAGGAGGAGGATTCTGAAGGACTAGGATGTTTTTATTGGCTTTTCATTTCTTTTATCTCCCACCCGGCTCCAGGACCACAGGAAAACATTTTTACCACAAAATCCTAGTATATTGATATCTACAAAAAGGATGCAACAGGTAAAAAAAAGGCTCTTGTTGATCCTATGCTGGTGTAGCACTTTAACTGAGCACTTAACAGGTAGTTTTGTATTTTTTAAAGACAAGCTCTCAAACTATTAGGAATACCAGGGTGAGTGGACTCTTTTTTAGTGTTTCAAGTTTCCTGCAAATACTTCAACATTCTTTTGCATTATTTTCAATCCAGTCAAAAGACTGGACAACCACAGAAACCATCAACTAAATGTAAGATAAACCAAAAGGAGAACCACTGAAGTTATTTACAAAACTTAGACATGACAGTGAAATGCAAACACAAAAGAGGAGTGGGGTGAGTGCAGCAGGGAAGAAGGAACAGTTTAAATTTATCCCAGTATATTATCAGAATTCCCTCAGGTATTCTATTCAAAAAGGTAGAATTTAATCTGCCTTGTCTTTGAATAAGCAATATAGTCTCCAATAAGTTCTGCCTCACATACGCCTTTTTTTTTCGTGAAGGCCGACAGAGCTACTTCACTGACAGTGTTCTGGTAAAATACCTTCTGGGTAAACGTCTTTTATAAACAACCCATTCTGAAGTTAGTGAAACAATAATACATTTATGGGACAGAACCTTGGCATGTCTAATACAAAGTCACTTTGGGGAACTGGAGATGGTTGATAGCAGCTGAGTCTAGCCTAATGCTCTTACCAGCACATCATTATCTCCTTTTTCTAGAATAAACAGTATCTTACAGTTCCCAAACTGGCACAGGAGCATTATTAGACTAAGTCTCCTTATTTCCTCATCCCTGTGGGGCAATGACATGTTAGAGTGGTCATGGAGCTGTCAAGTTAATGCAACACCACTGAAATACCTGAGGGAGCTTGCAACTCTCATATTACACTCCTTATCTCATCGAAGGAAAGGCTGTCTGTAGAAATGGATTTTTAACATTTATGCCTCCCCCTTGTGTTTCTACCACATGAACTCACCAGACTATGTTTATTTCTCAAAAGATCTCTACAAATCCAAACTTTACACATCGTATTTTCTTGGCTTCCTGGTAAATACGTAAAACCAGGAGAGCACTGAGAACAAAAATTCTTTGAGTTGTTGAGTCTAAAATTCCTGTGGAAATCAACCAGAATTACAACTATTACAGTAGTAATGTGATATTTAAAAAAGGATCTGATCTTAGGGGAGAGGGACCATAATATAAATGCTTTCATCTAGCACAAGCTTTGAAGAGACAAACTGAATAGTACTAATTCTGTTCCACTGGAAAAGAGGAATATTGCCACTTACTTCATGAGAATTAGGTTTGATTTGGGTTGGGAAGTTTGTTTGTTGTTGGGCTTTTTCTTAAAAAGTGATAAAAGTATTTTTACTCTGGAGAACCTGGAGAAAATAGCATAAAAAGCCAAGGAAGAGAGAATTCCTGGCCTCATCCTGACCGCCCTGACAAGAATAAGGTCACAGATATCCTTTTGCACAAAGAGTTTGTCTGCACAGAGGGAGGAAAAAGTTGCCTGTTGACAAGCAGAAGAAAAAAGCAGAAGACAAACATACCTGACTTGCCCACACCAGCCCGACCAAAGATCGCCAACTTCACTTCTGCACTCTTAGCCATGCTGGAAGGAATGGGGTGGTGGCAAACTCACTCAATTATCAAAAGTGAAGCAGAAGAACTGTTCCCAGCTCCTGTGTTTGGCTTCACTGTGTCATTGTGACGTCAATGCAGAGCCTGGGGAAGAATACCACAAGGATGGAACTGCAAGGAGCCAGGCTCTCCCTTCCCCCCGCCCCCTTCCCTTTTTGCTTTTTTTAAATAGTCACGATAATCGATGCTCCGTTCCTGCTTTAAACATTGCAGTAACACCACTGACATATTTGGCACTGTTTGTGCAAAACCTACCTTCAGCTTTCTGGCTACTGCTGTTTGCTTCATGCTGGCACTGTAATATTGCAAAAGGTACTCAACAAGGCAGAGTGCCTGCCTTACAAGGCTCCTTATTCTTTCTTTCTCTTTCAGTTGCAATTGCATATATTTACTGTATTTGACTCAACTGCAATGAATTACTTTTTGTAGAATATTATTTAATAAGCTGTGAGCACTCACTAGTAGTGCCTGCAGATAGCTAATCTTTCCCTGAGCCCTCCAGTTCCAAAAAGGTTTCAATTACTCAGCTGCAGTTGCTTAAAAACCTCTAAGCACTTTTACCTTGCCCATTGTACTAAGCAAATCTGTACCCAGGAAGTTTGCTAGTGCTCACACATAAATGTTCAACAAAGCATGGGGTTAGCAAAAGAATGCCAGAATTGCTGGTAATGTACCTTTAACAGGCTGTATGGGAATTACCTATATTCACAGTTTCACTGCATTACCTTGAGCAAGTCACCTGACACTTCATCTCTTTGATTTGATTTCTCCAACCTGGACAGTAAAATATATAACCATACCCGTCCCTGTAGAATGTTTTAAGATCTTGAGGGGAAAAATGGCAACTGAGATGATGATGATGATCCTCAGCCCTGACTTAAACATCAAAAATTCACTTTACTTTTAAAACAGGGTAGAACTTTACCTGTGAATGCAACGTGTTATGAAGGTTTGCTGTTGTGCTGAAGTACCCACTTTAGCCACAAATTGTAACAGTGACGTAGGAAGCTCACTATGTCAGCATTATCTGCTCTAGAGCAGAATGCATTTCAAACACTTTACATCGAGAAGGGTCCCGATTCATGTCTGACGTCGTAGCGCTCCTGATTCCTTTTGCCTAAGCCTAAGTATCAGATCACTCTCACTCTGCACGGACAGTTAGAAGCACGAACTGTTTCAGGATGTAGCGGGATGGGCGGAGGGGACAGAGAGCGAAGAAACGGTGTTGCCCGCCGGTCGCCCGCCGGTCTAACCCGCAAACTCGGTCGCCTTGCGGCACGAGCGTGCGCCGCAGGTTCTGTTACCTTCTGTGCAAACCGACTCATCACCCCCTGCCCCGTACTCCGGCGGTCCCGGTCAGTGCGGCCCGCCCGGTCAGGGCGGCTCACGCGGCGGCCGGACACCGGCGCTGCCCGGCACGCCCGGCTTCCGCCACCCTGCGGGCACCGCGGCCCCCCAGCGCCGCATCATTCCGCTGCACGGTAATCCTCTCACTCCCCAACACCACACCACACCTGGCCCTTTCTCCCTTCTCCCCTCGCACCCGCCGGAAAACCCCCGGGGCGGCGCACAGCCCCGTCCGGCGCTCACCTCTTGCCGCTCCCGGCAAGCGCGGAGGGGCCGCGCTCGGCGGGTGCCCCGGCGCGGCCGCTGCGAGGGAGGCACGGCCCGGCCCGGCCCGGCCCGGGCGCTCCCCGGCGCTCCCCCGGCGCAACGCGGCGCGGCGCACAACGGCTCCTATTCCAAGGCCCGCCGCCTCCGCACCGCCGGCGGGGCTCCGCAGCGCCGCGGGCCGCCGAGCGGGGCGCCGCGCCCCCTGCGGGCCGCCGGGAGCGGCGCTGGGCCGGGCCGATGCCGTGGCGATGCCGGTGCCGGTGCCGGTGCTTTTTCGGAGGAGAGGACGCAGCCCTGTAATTGGGAGCGCTCGGCGGTACCGCAGCGTTTAATTACGGCTGTTGTTCGCTTGCACGAGTTCTGAGCGAAGCGCTTGCTAGCGCCGAGTCTGCTCCGCGGGTTATTTTAGCGTCTCGGGTATTCTCCTTCCCCTCCCTCTCGCTCGCTTAGTGCTGCTCGCCAGCACCAGTCTGTGCAGCCCTGCGCAGAGCCGGAGTGTCTCCCTGTCCTGACACACATGACAGCAAAGTGACAGTAGGGCTGCTGCCCCATTGGGCCGCTGCCCCATTAGACCGCTTTCCAATAGCATCAACTTTTCACGCAGAGCTCTTCCGACTTTCTCACGTGGCTTATGGCAAAGTGTCATTACTTTGATTTGCAAATGTGTAAAATGAATCGTGTAAAGACATCAGCCTCTCCAAGAGGTTCGTGTCACAGCCAGGGACCAACTTCTGAAATTACAGGACCAAATTTATCAGGCAGCTCTTACTTCCATGTTTATTAAACTATCCAGTAACATAAAGATACATTAGTAACAGATGTGAACCAGAACTGGAAAGCACTAAGAGTTCAGTGGATGTTCCTCCTCTGTTTCTGTTCCAGCCCAGATCTGAATGAGATACAAAGCGAGTAAAAGAAAAAGCTCTCCACTCACTGTGTTCCTTGATGCAAAATTAAATAGGGGTTGGATTGGAGAAGATCTTCCATGGTCCAAGTGTCTCTACAGGAGCATGATAAACGTTTAGGAGGCAGGGTGGCAGATCTGAGGAGAAATGAGCACCTACTATTCCCTCCAAGATGTGCCAGCTGCAGGCACTCAGGAGCAGATCTTAAAATAGTTTCACTGCATATCATTGAAAAGCAAAAAAAAAAAAAAAAAATAAAAGGCAGATGTGAAAAGCAGTTGTGTGGTTAATGCTTTACTTGTTAAAAATAAACGCTGGATCTTTAAGCCTTCACTCACTGTTTGGTTTGCATAATTTAGAGGGATTAGCTTTTTCCATCCTCCTAAGAGAGGAACTGGTGAGTGTCTATTTTGCATCTGGGGAAATGTGCACTAGTCTCGAGGCCTGACATTTGTTTTGTGTCTGTGGAATTCACGCCGTATGGGGCTGTCAAATTAAATATGATAACTGGCTTTTCCAAAGCAGCAGATAATTTACTGGTCATTAAAAATCCTAGTGGCTGTGCAGTCAGCTTGTGCTGAAGTCTCTTATTGGTGCCAAGGCATAAGAATTTAGTAAACACTAAACATGGACACAGGCAAAGGTTTTGGATGGTTCAGGCCCAAGGCTGGTCCAGGGCTGCTTCAATTGCTACTTGTTTTCTGAGTACTCACTGTGTTTCTCATACATAATATTGATGAATTTGAGTGGAGTTTTTTCTACCCAAAATGGGTTTTGAAAGCCTTAGGCTTTAGTCCTGTAGACCAAGGGCCACCTTGCTTTGTCATAAGCAATATTTTTTTGGTACTTGTGTCTGACATGGTATATTTTCTCAGTGGCACTGCCACTTCTGCTGATCAAAAAAATGCTTATGGTTGTTATCTTGGAATGGGTAATGAGATCATTGAGTGAAGACCACTGATTGCCTGAATGATGGGGCAGGTTAATTTTCTACCCTTCCATTTTATGAAAATTAGGGAGAAAGGAAGCAAAGCTGAATGTATGTGGGGTCTGAACCCAGATAGTCTGTGTGCTGTCAGTCTAAATTCAGCCTGATCCATCAGAAGTCAGGAGAAACCCCTTTCCACCCACCAGAGCCATGTGCCCTGGATTTCTCCCTCTTTCCCCTTGCATCTTTGATGAGTCATAGTGTTTCACAGCTTAATTCATTTTTTAAAATAGCACTTTGATATATTTAAAAATATATTCTTGTTTTACCAGGAAAAAGAGCAGTCCCAGCACAGGATAGCTGGCTTGTGGGAATTATTGGCTGAGATGGAGCTAAGGGTAACTCACTCTTTTTTGTAGGCTCCTTTTCTACACCTATCAAAGCAGTGAAGTGTTTCTACTCACAGTTGTCAGTGAGTTTATCTGTGGCTTTTGGACTCCTAGGGGCAACACTGAGCCTTGCAATAAGGCAGAGCAGGCGACCTCCTCTCCCTTGGGGAGCACAGGCACTGCAGCTGAGTCACCACCAAAGAGCTGGGCCCAGCCATGCTGAGAACATGGAAACTGTGGCTGCAGGTTCTGTAATGTGGGCCTGCACCTCAAAACAATTCAGATTGTTTTCTTAATTTTCACAGAATATCTTCTGAATGTTTTTGTGTTGGCTTTCAGTAATGTACATAAATCTGTTCAGTTATGTTAAAAAAATTGCAACTTTGTCATTAAATCATGAATGACCTTTACTGTTAGTTTGATTTATAGTCAATATGAAGTATTGCTCTTTCAAATTAATATTGCATTTTCTCATATTTTCTCCTGTAGCTTATAAAACACTGAGTTTATTGTGATGAGTTTTGTTAAGCGTAGGCCAAGGATTTATAACTTCTTTTCCTTTCAACTTTTCCCTCAATATGTAGAAGAAAAATCAAATATGTGTTTCTAAGATGCAAGGTTTATTCTTAATAATTTTTCATGTCTAATGAAGTAAATAAGACCACAATCCTGCAAATATTTGTTTGTGTTTAGCCTCCCATGGGCAGGCTTAATGGAGTGGCCAAGGCAGCTACAGCTTCCCCATTAGTACCACTCGAAGGTGCATTGCATAGCTGCTGGCAGAATCCAGGCTTCAACATTCTGAAGGGCACAGGAGATACACAGGGGATGCTTTTCACAGCATCTTGTGGATCTCATGCATGAAAATGCCTCTGTGCTATGCCCTAATGCAGACCTTCTGCCTCAGTAGGTGTTTGGCACGTTTGTGCAGAGATGTGTGGGCTTGTTGCAGTAGCAAGACTTTTGTCAGGTATATTTGACAGTGATAGATGTGCAAAGCTGAGACACACAGCTCAGTAGGAACTATTGCCAAGTGGAGTAGCAAGGTATTAGCTTATGCTTTATGACACGTGGCCAATAGATACTCTTCCTGTTGCACAGGGTAAAATGTAGAAATTTTGCTAATTTTTGATTCTTCTCATCATTGACTAGGTTGTATCCTGATAATCTGTCCTTAAAAATGGGCAAACTGTGACTCCACACTCACAGAAATACAGCTGTGACTGCTCTGACTCCATCACAGCCTGGTATGTTATTATTGGGTTTGCTCTTTGTTTAGAGTTTGCTTTTCTGGTATTATTTCTCCCTCCACAGTTACTCAGATCACAGAGAGGTCCTTTAAGAGGTTTTCGATAGTGTAAAATTAATTATGTATTATCAAAAAGAAAGTGGGATGACTGTAACTCTCTTGTACATATTTTTAATGACTAAATATTTACTTGCTTTAAACCTGAAGAAGTTCAGTTTCTTCACCAAAGTAAGACTGGACTAAAAATAAATCAACTAAAGAATAGTCTGCAAATTAGTTAGTACCCTCCCACCAGAGAGATTTGTGTTATGGTTTTAATAACATCCACTTAGAGAATTAAAAACCACTGGTAACAGTTGCAACAAATTTTGCAACAAATGTGCAATACCAGACTTTATTAATGAATGAGTTACAGCGCTGTGTCATCTTAATTTCTTACAGATGTGTTCACGTTCTTTGAAAGGACCAGTAGAAATTGTCATAAATTCATTTACTGTTCACAGTAATGAATGCTAGCCCTTATTCTTCCTCCGTGGTATTATGATTGCAATCTGGGTTGCCGTAGGGATCCCACTGCAATTCATCATCGCCTCAGTGTTCAAATTCTCTGGTGGAACCAGATATTGGTGTCGACAACATCTGGAGTTTTACGTCTCTCATCTTTTTTTCTGCCTCCTTCCTTCTGTTTAATCAGGAGAATGGGAAGGGGAAATTGCTGCCATCGTTAATATCTTCAAGACTCCGAATGACTGCTGGGACTTTGGAGGATATTTAGATGTAGGATGGAGGAGACACAGGCCTGTTCAAAGAGGTGAGACTGAGGAACATCTGCTTTTGCCATACTGTGGTGCCAGTTGTCATAGCATGCCTGGAAAGGTGGGAGGCCACTCTTCCATCTTCCATTCTGAAGCCAAGCTGTGGATTTGACATTTCTTTCTTCTCCAGAACACCCACAATGTCCTCTGGGATTTTTGTGGGACACGGCCTAGAATGGAATTCGGAGCGCTCTTCCTCCTACTGCTTCTCACTCTCACTCTCCTGAATCCTTTTTTCTGTTTTCAACTCAAAGCCAATGGGCTGTGTGACATATATGGGTTGGTCCTATAACTCCCTTTCACAGGAGAGTGTCTTGGCAACCATACACCCCATTTCTTTTACTGGGGCCATTTCATGTTGTATAAAATAGTTCTGTATAGTTCTCTCTCTTGTATCAAGGAGAGCCGTATGTTAATTTGGATTTTAAGCAGGAATCTTTATCCATGCCTGATCAAATCCTGACTTGCTTCCCACCCGAGTAATTCAGATGCAAATCCATTCTCAGGGGCAGGGTTCAAACAAGCTCAGGGATACGCTGCAAGGTAAATCTTGAGTGTGGGCTGTTCCTTTGCATAGAGTGTGTCTGCCTGTCTGACAGTGTATGACAAGAGACTGCTTTGTGGGAATGTGACCTTGGCACAATAGACATGTCCTTCCTAAAAGGGCCTGATAACACGTGCAACAAGGTGCTGTGTGAATACTGGGCATGGCCAGGTAGCAGGATGGGGATGCACAATGCTGCCAGAGAACATCCATAGACGTCGCTGAAAGGGCTCACTCTGCAGTCCTGTGACTAAGGCAAAGACAAATGCAGCAGTTTCTGCCATAAAGAATGTTTAGTTACATCTATGAAAACTTTGGTGTGACAAAATGATAGCATCCTGACTTTAAATAGTGTGGTATTTATGGATGGCATAGTCTTGTGAGTTTGGAGAGGGGTGGAATCAGAACTCTTCGACAAAAGACAAAATTCAGCTTGGCATCATATACAAAGCACTGGCTAAAGGTAGGGTAAAGCTAAAAGGGGGGAAAGGGAAGAAATTGCCACCATGCAAATAATTTTCTCGACTCTTCTGTCTAAGCTATCCAGAACTGAAATGCTTCTTTTTCTGTTAGCCAGACCACAACATTAACAGAAAATGAGATTTGTTTGTTAGTTTGTTTGTTTGTTTGTTTTAAGAGAAACAGACTTTTATCCTTTTCTTGTTTTCTCACTGTGTGTGAGAGACAGGAATTTTGTTTATAAAATCCAGTAATGTTTATAAATTCTCCAGAAACATGCTTTTGTGCTTTCTTCTGTCTTGTCTGCCGTGCTTGTGGGAGAGGCTCACATAAAGATAATTCATCATCCACATTCAAATATAGCCCTTAAAATCCCTAACATCAGCTTGATAAATGTTTGTCCACAGATGTGTTGTGACCACTGCCTATCATGCCAAGTAATATTTTTACAATTTTTGTCCTTCTTCATCTATCCAAATCCATCAGTTGTATTCCAGGACTGTGCTGTGCTAGGGAACCAAGCTTTGTGTATCCAAACACTCTGCAACTGGAATGGTCCCTGCACAATTCATGGCATCTTGTGAACATCTTGAAGGAAAAATAGTAAGTATGTTTTTCAGTCAAGGGTTGAATGATCTGCTGTCCATCAGTCTTGCTAACTCAAACCTGATTCACCTACCCAGGGCTGTTGGGGACTGAATTATTTCTTCTCTCATTCATCTCATCATCCATCATGTGTGCTTAGACTATGTAATTTTGCCATGAAGTGCACCTGTGTATTCCTTCTCTTTGGTGCTGTTTTAGAGAATGATTCTCTGGAATTTACATTACCACTTTTCTCCACAATATTTGGGGACCAGTTGTGGAGCAGAAAAAAACCCCACCAACTACTTAAATACTTGACATTTTAGCATCATCTAAATACTTTTTTGGAACTATCCCTGAATTCATTATGCAGAAAGCAATGAAGAGTCTCAAGCAACCTCGGACCCTTCTCTGTTCAGGGCACAGCTGGTGAAGGAAATGAGCTCTTCCAGCATTATAGGAAATAGTTGGAGTTGGTAACAGATGCTGAGCATTTCTGTTCTGCTCTGTGACTACAGGACATGGGGAGATGGCACTAGTGAAAAATCCATCCTCGTCTGGAAATCATTACTGCTAACCAATCTATAGCTTTTGTATAATAATTACTGTTATAATATTGCTTGTCAAAGTTTCTGTGAGCTGGTTTCTGGGGCTGTGTGTGCAGTAAAAGTTTTGGGGATAGACAAAGACTTTTAGGCACCATTTGTAAATGAGTAATTAATAAACCAGCATAAAAGTTCATTAGGACAGAATGAGAGAGGCAGTCAGAGGTACCCTCCAAAGAAAAAGAAGGAAATGTTAGCAAATAGACGTTACAAAAACAATTTTATCAGTATGTTACCCTGGGAGGTGGAGAAAACTCTATAAGGATTAATTTTAAAAAGCAATTAGTAATACCACAAGTTCAGAAATCTTTTAAGCACATGTCAAATTCCTATGGATTCCCTGTTCAACTGATGACAAAGCTTGAAGGATTCAATAAGAAGCAGTAATTAAAATAGCAGAAAAATTAAGTCTCTAGTTCTTTAACCAGGGTTCCCATCTTCATATAAACACAAATCCCATGGAAAACAGTGTAACATTTTTATAGAAATTAACTAACTAAACAGTAGCTAGTTTATTTAAACTGTTCATTATTTCAGTATCCACTGATAGTAGGATAGCAGGAATACAATTAAGAGTCCTCCATAAGGAACACTATTCTCTGATACCTATACTATACCCTTAATTAGCATGGTATCATCCATAATAATAATGTCTTTTTAAAAATTCATTAAATGTTTTGGGTGCTAGTCAGACAAAATACTAAAAGAACAAACTATTCATTTTTAAGTACTTACAGCTAATACTTAAAATTAGTTTAATTTATTTTTTCTTTTGGCTTTATCTAGAAAAAAAATCCTACAGAAAACTCATAATTTAGAGCAATGAATATAGCTGCAATGTCCCTGCATGATTAAAGAACATCCTGTACAATGGTACATTGTGGGTTTTTTGTTTGTTACTTGGGTGTTCTGCCTCAGGAATGAAACAGCATGTTTTCTCTAATGTCACAAATGATTGCAGTTCAGCCACTTCATACATACAGTTGCAGTGCAAATGAGCACTGAGAAAGAATACTTCAAGTGAAACAGCTTAGTTACAAGAATTTTAAAACACTCTGGCTGGTGTGGGTTAAATTTATTCTAAACTGTGACATTGTAAACAAAAATACCAGTACTTTTTCCATAGTCAAGATGATTTCTATTTACAGATTCTATTTACGTCTGGTTAGGGACAGAGTTAACCTGAAGTCCTTGCAGCAAAGAGTGAAAGATTAAGACTTTTCTGTTGTGTTCCAGGCTGAAACGTCAAAACAACAGCTCATTGCTGTCCTTGAAGCAGAACAAGGAGACACCAACATATTTGAAAGTGTTGTGCACAAAGCAGTAACACTGATGAATATAGCATAAATGGTTTTAAGTATTACTACTTATATAGAAGCTCATCAATTGCTTACCTAAAAGTTTTGGTTAAAAATGTTAGAAGATAGTTGTGTTTCAAATTTTTTGATGTCTGCTTGGGAAGTCTTTAAGGGCTCATGATAAAGATGAAGAATTCCCAAGCACACACTTTCTGAGTTTTCTGTTGCTTCGAAAACACCAACTCTTGTCTAAAATTACTGTTAATCGAATCACTATTCATCTTTTGAGTGATTTAATTAAGGGATGTGGAATCTGACGTGTCTCATACCAGCCTGATGTTCAGACAACAGCGATTCACTATTTTGTAAATACCAGTTCTGTTCTAGATGTTTTCAAGTGGGCAGCCAAACTGAGGGAGCCCATACCATCAGTCTTGCATATGATATGAATGTTTCTCTGTGTGTAGGTTACTCTGTATTGTGAGCTCTCATGATTCAGTCAGAAAATGGGGTGAGGTTTCAGCCTGAGTACCACATGATCATATGTGGAGGGTGTCTGTAACTGGTGTCTCCATTCTCAGTGTTACTGTTAGTGGTATCCTGTTAAAAACAGCTGGGGGTGAGTGGGTTATTTCATCCATTTAATACACATCTAGTTCTAAGCTACTGCTCTAACTTTCTGCAGTCCATGGAGTTGCCTCTAACAGGCAGTTCATCTCCTTCTCTCTCTGAAGGCATCTTGGAGGCTCCAGTGTTTCAGTACAACCTGGCAATTTACTGCTGATACAATTGACTTCCAACAACCCTTCTCACCCAGCTGGAGACTGGTCACAGGCATCCTACCTCTTCTTAGAGTCAGTGACCTATTTTGGTGAGATGCATCAAGTTTAGCACACTCATCTTTTTTTTTTCCATTGACTTTGAAATTATTTAAGTAAGTAGCTCTGATGGAGTCATTTACTATTGGTCAAACAAGTCCTATTTCCACCTGATGTCTTGAAGGTTTAGTTCTCAAGGTCCATCCCCATTTCTGAAGTGACTGTCCTGCAGCTGGAGGTGTAAGATTTCTCTCCAGTATTTAAAAATTTGGCATTCACATTCTATGCAATATGACCTACCAGGCAAGTCTGTGGCTTTTATTCTTGTTTTAACAGAAGAGAAATCTATAAAAATGGAATGTGTTTCTGGTACAATTTTGTGTATAATTTTGGTCTGCGGACAATTTTTTGTTTTCCAGACCACAACAGAAGCATTCTGGAAAGCTTCATCTGTGTGATTCCTGAGAGCTTTTCACCCAAAAAACTTTGCTCATAACTCATGGTTTTGTCTTCCTCTAACTTTCACAATCGAAAACTTACATAGCCACTTTAATGGTGAACTGAAACCTGTCTGCCTTTATTATAAGATCTGAAGCAGTCACCATCATCACCTGCAGCTAAATAAAGAGCTTGATTGTGCCTTCTCTTAAGCCTTAAAGGGGTAGACAGCTTGGTTTTAAGGAAGTCCACTGTTGTCCTCAGTGCTAAACTTCAGTCACTCCCCTGGCAACCCCTGCACCTCCAGATGCACACAGCTGCTTAACGTGGGCTTCAGGGTAGTACCTCTTAAAAGGCACAGGCTAGCAATCTGTACTTAGCAGTTTGAATTCCTAGGCTGGATTTCAAATGAAACAAAGATATTTTCCCCTTTTAGGTTTCCTGGGGATGCCATGGTGAGAGGAACGCATTTCATGGTGTTTTTTTTTAAGGCAGGCAGCATGTGCATTCCATGGCCCTGTGCCATCTGCATCGTTAAGCCACCTTCTTCCATGATTTATATAAATCTTACAAGCACCAAAACTCTGCTAGCTATCCAGCCAAACTAAAAATAACCTCTGAAAATAATCCAGTGTAAAAATTTGCCTTCCAAGAGAAGAAGCAGTCTATTCTTTACAGCCCTTCAACTGTGTTAAAACACTGATGAAGTTACTGTCTATTGATGATACCAGGAAATTTAAAGCAATTATTTGCTTTAAGCTGCTTCCGTGTGATAATTAGAGAAACCTGGTGTAGGTGCTGCTTTGAACTATTAAAATGGTGTTAAATTAATGTTATGGAAGAAATATATTGAGCTCTTAAGATTACACATGCATTGAAATTTCCCTAATGGGGTGCAAATTTATCCCTCATTTTTTTTAATTTGTGCCACTGTTGAACACTCATCCTCTATTTTTCAGTGTTTTCCTGATTGTGTTCATTTTTCAGATGACTAATTGGAAGGTTGTATTAATGAACAAAAATTTGCAGAGCAAAACCAACACTGTCAGCGGGGCTGTTCATTAAATCATGCTTTCCATGTATACCAGCCTAAAACAACCCTAATATTTTAACTACCCTGCAAACAATCAAAAGCTGGGGATGTGGTTTCATAATTTTGAAGGGCTTTTATTTTGTTTGAGTGCTGCTCTGTTGTCAGTGTAGAAAAGGAAGGATTCCTTCAGGTAACTCAGGACACCTGCAGAGCTTGATTTCTGGTTCATGTAACTCTTGACAGAAGCATCTCCTGATCACTGCTTACAAATGGAGTGAAGATGTTTAGCCTCCCTACATAAAATTAATTTCTTGGAGTTAATCCCTTTACCTCCTAAGACTCACAGCTCCCTTAGGTGTCTTCCCACTCCCGTGCCAGGTAAGAGGATGGTATGTAGGAATGCAGACTCCTAGAAATATTTATTAATGGCTACATCAACCACAAATGGTTGTTACATATGAGCTCTGAATTTATCAGAAAAGGTTCATTGCATGCTACATGTGGTGCCTTTGAAATGTAATAGCCAGCCATCTCCTGCCACACAGAGGAAATTTCTAGACAGGGACCTTACCAAAACTCTTTAAACATTTTCATTTAATACATAAGAAAAACAGAAGAATAACAATAAAAACAAAACAAAACCAAAACCACCAGACCATTGATAGCTATTTTGTGATGTATTGGGTTTCAAACTGCTGAGAGTGAAGCAGAGCTCTGTAGGCAAATCATAACAAGAAATGTTTTCCCTCTGTTATCAGGACAGTAGCACTGTCTGAGTGAGCATTTCCAAAAAGAAGTGGGGTGGAGAA